CACACGTGACGTAACAGAGAAGGAGCGCACTATTGAACGACAAGGACAGACACATTTCTCTTTCCAATCTGTTAGATATTCACTAATTATTCAAATTTCAGGAATAATTTACGCTCTTTTGAAATGGAAGAATACAGTATAAATCTTAAGTAACGTTCCTTTACAGTTTTGGATACGATTTTTCGTCCAATTAATTAGTTATTAACAAATATCTCAACAAGCGTCTCGGCCTACGCAATGCATATCTACGATTTTTCATTATTATCCAGTTCTTGAAAGATCAAATCTCATTATTTGAAATCGCAGAAGCTTCCTTAGACTCTGTACTTTACATTCCATGCACAAAGACAATTAATTGATTGTTTATTAATTCAAATTATGCGAAAATTCATCGCGTCGGTCCTCTATCGTAACAAAATGTCGCGCGATAATCATTAATAACTGTTAATTCACACAATAATTCCGATATGAAACTGCACGAGAGTATTGCTTGCAGTCTGATTATTATTCCACGATTCTAAAAGTGCACGATTTTGCCCCAGAAATTGTGTATAGTTAACGAATATTCGATAAATTAGACAGAAAAGTCTATCTTTCCTCGTCTGTGCCGTTGTCTTTCCTTTCTGCAGGCAAGTATTGCCATCTATTGGATTGCGACTAGAAATTGGACAGCGTAACAGGAATATAGAACGTGCAAAGAGGTATCTCAGGCAAGACGCGGGATACTGTGCGACAGACCATGTACCACGAGTCAGACAAGGAGCGCATTATCCTGTGACAAGGACAGACACACTTCTCTTTCCAATCTATCGAATACTCGTTTATTGCTCTATTCTTGGGATAAATTTATGCACTTTTGGAATTGGATAGTAAGGTATAAACCTGAAGCAACGCTCCTATATAGTTTTGGATGTGATTTTTTGCTTAATTAATTAGGTATAAATGATTCTTTCAACAAGTGTCTGGGCACCTCGACGTATGTCCACGTGTTTTGCATTAATATCGAACTTTTCGGAGATTGAAGCTCGTTAGTTGGAATTGCAAAAGCTTTCGTGAACCCTGCGCTTTGTATCCCATGCGCGGAGATCATTAATTAATGACCTGTTAATTCAAATTTTGCGAAAATTCATCGCAACATCTTGTACGGCAACGGGTTGTCGTGGGATAATCATTAATTATCGATCATTTCAGTAACAATTATGATTTAAAACTGCATGTGAATATTGTTTGTAGTTTGGATTTTACTCCACAGTTCCAGAAGTGTACGATTTTGTCCTAGAAATTGAGTAATTGAATATTCAATAGATTAGACGAAGAAGTATATCTCTCTTTGTTGGACATTGGTGTTATCCTTTTCTATGAGCTGGATGCTGCTGCCATCTGGCGGCGTCTGCTGGAAACTCCTGTTAGACAAGAAGCGCAACAGTGTGCGACAAGGACAGAGATAGAATTTAGTTCCACCGTTTCACCGCTACGCGACGCTAGCATTTGTCCATAAATGTCCATAAATTGAAGAAAGTTTCATTTGCAAAAAAGATTAATTTAGGGGATTAATTTGTGAACCTTTGCGATTGTATCTTCTTAATTGGATCCTTAACTTTTTTTCAATGTCCTGTTTGTCTCGCAAAACTACCTCAATAACTATTTTTTAAATTTATCAATATCTTTAGTTCACTGGCAGATGTCGCCAGTCTCGAAAAGATGACACCTGCTTTAATTGCAAGAAAATACATAGTAATTAAAATGATTAATTTGTAAACTTTTGGCAGTACATCATCGGATTCAGACCCTCAGGTTTCTTCATTGTTCTATTTGAAGTTTCTTCGTTGTTCTATTTGATTCACAAAAATGCACGGTTAATAATTTTCAATTTTTTGATCAATGGATCGAAACGTTCTTTCGAATTATTGAGATAACATTAACATGATATGTCAATCAAAATTTTGCAAATAGATAGTTAAAATAAAGAATAACAACTTTCACAGACAATTTCAAACATGCATTTCTGTTTAATCAATTAATTATTAAGAATATTCATTAATTATTCACAATTTAATTTCATTAATTGACGATTCTTTGTAGGAGATGGTTTCAAAAGCTTTTGGAATTTTAAAAAGATTACACCTCGGACAATTTATATTTTTATGTAAGGTTATAATTATATTTTAAATATAACATGAGTAAGAAACACGAATCACCTACATTTTAATACATGGGTACAATACAAATAATAATTTATACAAGATATTAAGATAACCTATGCTTTAAACATAAAATTGCTGTCAATATCTTTATAAAACACTTTTCTTTGCTTCAGGCAGAGATTGTCAATCAAGAAGAAATGCTCGAAAGTTCACCAATCTCATCGTCTGAACCAAGAATTCAACGAAACCCAGATTCTGAAATCTCTACGGTATCAAACCATGTCAAACTACAAGTGTCTACTTTTAAAAATACTCGTCTTTCAACAACAAGCGTTAACGATGTCGAAAATCCTCGTGAACACCTTCCAACGGACAATGTTCATCTAAAAAAATTAAATCTCATGGAAGAAAAGATATTGTACAGTAATAACAATCTCTCTCCAACAATTTCAGTAGATTTTCACGAGAATACTACTGATTATACTAGTCAACAATCCTTGCAAAATAATGCATCTTTCAACTCATCTTCAACGGGATATAATCCTCAAGATGATCGCAATATTCCAAATAATCGTGCAACATTGAGAAAAGAAATATTGAATGACGTTAATTCAGAGAATATAAATGCGAGTAAATACTCAGAGTTGCGTTCGATGGATCATGCTGGAGATGAAATTGTTCAAGTTCGAATGCAAAATACGAGCGTAACCGAGAGTGGGGCTACGAAGTTGATTTACTCTGTTCATCTGGGAGGGAAACCTGTACCTGCAGAAACAGCTGCCAGGGATATGGCTCTTTTGTCGCCTCAAGAAGTTGCATTGGAACTTGGCGCGCCAGTTCTTATTCAGAGTGAACGTAAGTTACGTTATTGTCATTCATTCTTTTTCTTTTTTTTTCTGGATTTTAATATGTTGGTATTGTATTAGTAATGTTTAATAGTTAGTATTTAACAATTTTGACTTTCCCTATATCATGGGAAAAGAGATTTAGAATTGTTATTACTATAATAATCATTTATAGGAATAGTAGATTTGAAATTGTTGAGATTATTATTAAAGTTATTAAAATCATTATTAAAGTTATTAAAGGAAAAATAAATTTAAAACTATTTTAAAATATAATAAAAATAAATTCATTATTATTCGTCGCATTTCATTATTATAAATTCGTTCTTGGTAATAGATAATTGTAAGTATTTTTAATATTAATTTTTATGTACATAGCATACTTGAAAGAAACAAGACCATTGGCCCTTTCAAGAAAAAGAGATGCATGGCTATTAGTTGGTGCAGCAAGCGCTGGTTTTATATTATTAGGATTGGTCGTCGCGGGATTAATTCTTGCAGCAAAAAGGAAAAGAGCACATAGTGCTGTAGCTGCACCACCGAGTCATCATATTTTAAGAAAGAAACAAGAATATATTCAAGCAACTACTGGTATTGACAATAATGCCTGCTCGACATCTGAGATGGAAATTAAGGTATGTAAGGCATGAAATTTTATTTAAAAAAAATACAAGCGTGTAAAGCGTCAGACAAAATGATGTTTAATAATGTAACTTTTAAGTAATCTTCAATACTGCATTAGTAATTATAATTTGAAAATTATATTTGAAATTCAAAATTGCATAAATATCAGCACTTTGTTAATTACAAGCATACGTAATTGTTTCTACATTGTAGCTTGTAAGTATTAATTCCTTTAATAGCTTGCGTCAGACGCAAAAGAGTATATTATCCAATAATTGAGCCAAATGACTAGTTGGAATTACAGAGGATTCTAACGACAGACTCGTGCATTTATGCGACCATTGACTTCAGGAAAATATTCGACGTTCCTTTAAACTGATTTATAGCGAGTAACTTTATCGATCTTCTGCATATTCTATCCTTCTTTACAGACTGACGGTACCAGTCAGAGACAGACTCCTGGAAGTTTATCGAGAACTCCAGTTTCTCTTGAAACCCCCGACAGTCTTGAGGCAGGAATTCACGAAATTTCAAGCGACGACGAAGAACAGAAAAGTAAAATGCGAGACTCGAGTCCGTGGGAACATTCTTCGAAGAGAACCAGGTACAACAAAATATGAAGAGAATAAAAATTTCATCTGTTTAAATTTATTTGATATTAATTATTAAATCGAATCTTTGTATTTTGAAAATTTTGGAAGTCTTATCTTAAAATTCGATATCTTTATTTTAAAACTTTTAATAATCCTTAAAACTTTGAAATTCAATTTTCGTACTTTGGAGCTAACTACTTCTAATAGTTTTAAAAAATAATTTTGAACATTTATAGCATGGTATTTTTAATAATTATTATTTATATTTAATTATAGATTGGCGCATGGAAGAATGTCACGAACGAATGCTATTGACACGCCTCGAACATCCGATTCGACAGACGTAATCGTCGATCATCTAGAAACGTTAGATTTTTTGGAAAATAATTACACGAGGCAAGAAGAAGCTACAGCCTCGCCGCATTCTTACCTTTCTATGCCATCTTGCAAGCCATTCCCCAGCATGAAAAGTGTCGAACCACTTTCAAGAGTATTGGAACCAGTTATGGTGAGCAAATCTTTTACTTTGTTTTTATGCTTGCATGATATAATTAATATCTACTTCTGACGGTTTTTATTTGTTTTATTCAGGTCAAACATCTAGACATAGACTCACCAGAACTGGTGAGACGAGAAACTGATCATTTAGATGTTTATAGAAGTGATGATGCGAATGATAAATTTTTCGCGCGTACTTCGAGTGCTATCAAAGACCCTGGAGTTGTGGGACCGATAGTATGGAATCTTCGGCGACAAAACTTCTCTGCAGAAGGTATAGTTTTATTTATCATTTTTATATTTTTCAAATTTAACTTTGCTGTTACATAATTTGAATTTTATAATTGTATAATTATAAACAATTTATTTGTATAATTATAAACAATTTATTTGTTCGTCTTAACTAATTAATATAAAATAATCTCTTTATAAAATTTCGAAAATAATCTCTTTATAAAATTTCGAAAATAATCTTTAAACAATTTTTTTTTAAAACGCATACAGAAATATAACGTACAAAAGATCAATAAACTTTATTTATTTGGGATTTTAGACAATGGTACATCTGGCACAGATGTTGATCCAACGTATGTGATGCCATCCGGTCCTGTGGGAAAAGCAAGGAGAAGACTTCACGAACTTCTGGAAGATTCTTTTAGCCTGTTTGGAAGCAGAGATGCAAAATCAGAAGCACAGTTGTCTGCTGCAAGACCAACTTCAGCAGCACGTGCACCAGACATCCTCACAATGTTTTCGGAAACAGGAAGATCTACTCATGCTAGGTATTTATGTCTATAAATTTTTATTTATTTTGCACATATAAAAAGAACAAAATTCTTCAAGGGGCTTAGATAGAAAGAACGGAAGAAAGAAAATAACAGAGAGCTCTTTAATTACTTTTTTTATTTAATTTTGATATAAACTTGCTTTTAGTCCCGTATCTTCGCCATTAACGGAAATGCAGGCTCGGCCTTGTACTTCATTTCCGGTGAAACCCAATGATGCTAATATCGAAGAAAATGGACATTCTGTACCATCGCGATCTCGCAGCAGTTGGGGTTCCAGACCACTAAGTGCTGGTCCATTTCACAGGCCTAATTTAATGCCGGATGTTGACACGAGACGTATACTTGTAGACAGTCAACTTCCACCAGAAGATCCAGCAGTACCATTAATAGCTTCGATTAAGAAAGAACTTGAAAAATTTTCTCCCAAATAAATTAAATAATCGAAGAGATAATAGCGTTACAAGTATTAAAAATGATAGTACAAGTGAAGTTCAACGATAATTTGCAGAAAACAATTCTAAAGATTAGTGAATATGCAAACTGCAATTCTACTTCCTGCATTGATTTTGCAAAGATTGATATTATTAAAGATATTCTAATTCATAGAATTGATATAAAAATTTTCTTGAGACTGTTATTTGTAAGTATAACTAATTATCATACTTGCTAGTTCAATATTAATTTGTGGCAGTTTCAATCTCTGTATAATCAATGGTTTGAGCCCAGATTTAACCCATTTACCAAAAAGTATTTATAAGATGGATAAAAGACATGTGAAAACCAGTATTTGAAATTCTATTTGTAACATTGTAAATATTTAACAAATTTTTATACGTACAATTTTAATTCATAATGTTTGTATTTCATGTAACATATTTATCTAGTATAGCTTACATATTCATTCAATTCATTCATTCATGTGTAAGATGATAATATTTTCTGGAAAGACTGTACAAATTAAAAACTTAGATAAAATATCTATTTACACATTATATACATATTGACATAGTTATCATAGTCATTATTACTTTATCACTAACAAAATGAAATACTGCTTTTTTCATAGCGAGGATATATGAAAATGACTTTTTAAAAGTAATTTTTCTATACGTTTTTTGTTATATTTTTGTTTGTACAGATAATAAGGTTAGAAAAATAAAAAATTGTTACTATATTCATTATCAAATTATTTATTTGTTAACTAATACGCTTATTGTATCTTTTGTTTGCCATTATATATATTATAAATTCATATAAATTAGTCAATTTGAATGCATAGTCAATTGATGTAAACCGTCCATTTTTTGTTAGAATTTATTAATATTATATTAAAAATTTCTTCATTTTAAAAAATACGACTTAATTAATTCTATCCAATATAAGAATATTTTTAATCTAAGTATATTTCAATAATGTATCAGAAAACAAATAAATTATTGATATTTTTAGTTACATATTATACTATATTTTAATTTATTTAATCTAAAAAATTTGATATTTACATATCAAATCCTTTTACGATATTTTCAGTATTTCAACAAATCGATCGTTATTACAAAAATCTTTGTAAGTATGTTCATATTGAAGTTTAAGAACGGGATATTTTTTTGTAAAAAATTGTATATATTCAGGATGACTTGGATCAACTTCTAAAAGCAAACGTCCTCCCGGCTTTAAAGCCGTGGCAGCATATTTTAATAAAGGTTTAATAACTTTTAAGCCATCATCTCCTCCATCAAGCGCTGTTAAATCTTCGTAACTAGAGAATAAAATTACAAATACTATAAGTATACAAAATATTAATAATTTATAATATTTAGAAAATTTTTCGATTTATAGTAAAGTTTATATAAAAGGTAATTTAATTACATTTTAATTTCAGGAGTTAATGTAAGTATTTGTTTGGTCGGTACATAAGGAGGATTACTAACTATGAGATCGAAAATCTTCGAGTTCAAATCGATATCGTTGGGTCCACTCAATATATTCGATAGTTCTATCGAACCATTGTCTTTAAGCGTTGCGTGCACAACTGAAACTCGATCTTTTAAATCTAATCTGTCTCGATTTTCTTTGGTTAAGTCACACGCGTCTGGATTTGAATCGATCGCTACACAATTAACCTAGAAATATTTATTTAATTTTACGTATAAATCGTGTTGGTGTTGCATTATGGGAAATCATTCTCAATATAAATAGTTAAATATATGCAAGATAAGGTAACTGATTATTATAATAATTACTGTTTTGTCAGTATGTGCGATCGCGAGAGATACGGCGCCAGAACCACATCCAACTTCTAAAATTTCTTGTCCTTTATTTTCAGAAGAATTCAGTGCCTTTAAGACGTAATGAACTAACATTTCACTTTCGGGTCGTGGTATGAAAACTGGCGGGACTAATTTCAAAGTAATATCCCGGAAGTCCCATTCTCCTATTATGTACTGAACCGGCATTCTGTAAAAATTTGATTTTAACGAGAAAGAACGATAAACAACAATACTGTTAAAAAGATTTTACCGCGATAATCGGCATTCGCACAACGAATCCAGTGTATCACATTGATCTGACGTAAGTTGTTTATTTAGTGCGTTTGCGACATCTAATATCTGGAAATAAATTTCTTTTGGGATGTTACTCGGAATAAATGTATGTACCTTTTTAGTATTCTTTTATTTTACGATCATATACACTAATATTAAAAGGTTATTCTTTATTTAAAGGAACAGATCTAACAAAAATATATAATGCTTAAAATAGCGAATATGAGCTGATGATTTTAGCAGTTAACACCAGTCACCATGAAAATACAAGAATGAAGAATTGAAATTATTACGAGCATGTCTGCTTAGTAATGGTAATACCTTGCTAGTGCCTATGACGTGCGCAACAATGTGCTCGATCGATTCTACGGGTTCTGGAATACCTTCCTTTTTAAACCGGTCGCTCCATTGTTCAATAATTTCACCAACGGTAGAACATTGTACGTTCGTCGTAGACAGAGTTCGCGTTGGTCGATTAAACGTGATAATTTTATTTTTACTGCATTGTACACACGCTTCGGCGGTTACGACACTGAAGAAAGTACGAACACCCGAAAGACATCGAAACAACATTATGTTTCACGTAGAATAATTCGTCGTTATCATCCGATCGCGTTATCAATCGAAAATTATTTTACGCTATAACACACGTACGAGATATTAAAACATTTTGCATTTATTAACCTCGCAGTTCTTCGCTCGCTCAGTTCTGCTACGTGCTGCCAGCTGTTGGGAAATACATTTAATTACATTCTCTCACAATATAAGGTCGATCGAGCAGAGAGAAGGTTGACGTAGAAGAAGCAATTAAATATTCGTGGGGGCAAGTAAATTACAACATATCAACGTAATCGTAAATGCTTACAACTACACAATACGTACACGAATACGAAAAAACCCATTATTAAACATGCGAACCAAACACACGGTTCTCTCAAACAGTACAAAGCCAAATAAATGTTGCATGTTTGACAAATCTGTGTTGTTGTCGAAATTTGTTGTTGTTTCGTGATATTAACCGGTCAAATTGTCAATATCAGGCATTGAAATTCTTTGAAATTGGCAAGATCGTTCGTCTTGCGTTCAGTCGATAACGTATCGTCGATTAGCGGCGCATGCGCAGACCTGCGTAACGGAAAGAAGGGCGCGGGCCTATAGGCCGTGATTCGGTTTAGGACGCCAGCAGTCGCCACCGGTCCAACTCGTAACTCGTGGCTCGCGACCTGCGATTCAGTCTGCCATGATAGTCGTCGGTGTCGCGCGAGTGCACCGTTGAACTTTCGCGTATCATTGACTGTCTTTCTGACAAAAGGGACGATCCAATGGGCTAAGCTGCTGCACGCTTCGACGGACACGTGTATACGATTGTTTTGGAATGACGGCGCTTCCGTGTTCGACAGTGTGGACCTTCTACGAATCACACGCGTCTTCAACCGAGTGAATGGCGGCGGGTGGTGTGGCGGTGTTGTGACGTGTGTCTCGTGCCGCGTTGACTGTCAGTTTCGTCGCGTATCGAAAATCGAGTCGGTTCTTGATCTTGCACGACGCGGCGTTATCGTTGTCGCGATACGCACGATTGCACATACGAACGACAATCCACGAGTACGCACGATCGCAATACGGTTATCAACATTCGTTTTCGCAATCGTGCGGCATTTGTTTACGAACGGCGGCTCTCCCGTTGGTTGAAGAGCATGCGAGAGTAAGGTGTGGTGAAAAATGACATGTAGATTTTCGTTGTCCGTTCGTTCCTGCCTCTCTTTCTCCTTCTCAACCTTTCCCCCTTCCTCTTTGTTCTAGGCACGCGTATTCCTATCCTTCCCTTCCGCCTTCACCGGTTTGGTATACCGGCGAGAGTCGAAAGCCTCGCGAAAGTAAGAATTCGCTGTCACGCGCGACTGTCACAATACTGTTCTCACATAGAACGATGCTTTCCGGAGAAGTAACGAGGAGAGAAACAACGCGAGGATAAAACTATCTTCGTGCATGAAGATTGTGTTTTTGATCAATTCCTCTTATATACATACTCCGTATGTGAAAGAACGTTTTCAATTCATTTTAGCCAAGCGAAAAAAAGAGAGGGAGTCAGTTTTTTGTTCACAAAGAAAAAAAGCAACGGAAGAATCGTAGAAAGATACAGTTTTGGAATATGTTGTCGTTGGGATTAAATGCCGGAAACGACCGGCCATGAAGAAACAGTTCGCTCTGGTAGGTTCACGCCCCTTTGTGCGTCAGGTCTCACCGTATCGTCGATGATCGACTGAAAATTCAATACCAATGTATTCGGTGTTTTGTGATCTGTGTCGCGTGAAAACCTAGTATCCGAAGAGGTTTATCGAGCGACGCGCCTTCGCGAGTGCTGGTGTTCTTCGTGTCTGTTAGCGGTCCCGTGGTTTCCATGCGGGGATAGATCAAAGCGTGCCTCGAGGGAAAAACGTGCCTCGTATTGTATCGTAAAATAACGGGGCATCGAAAGTGACGTATCGTTCGCTCGGAATTCATTCCGTGACAGGGAATTTCCTGTTATCGATATTTGCGCTCGCTTGGCGCGTACGCAACGTTGCGCGAGCGTGCACGCCCTTCCCGCCTGGCCTCTCTCCCCTCGCCCTCGTCTACGCAGCGATCGTCGACAGCCGTCGTCGTCTCTACAGGGGAGCGATTTCGTCGGTCGTGTTGTTTAGTGTTTGCACGTAACGGCGGTGTGACCGAGGGAGCACACATCAGTCGTATCGATGGACAGTGTCGCGTTATGCGTGCGGGCCAGTCCGAAATACGCGACACCGCGTGAAACTGTACACGCGCCGGCTATCATCAACAGAGAAGAGATATCCTGCGTTATCTCTTTCTCACGTTCGAGTAGAGAACCGTGCTGTGAATGAGAAGATGTTCAACTTTATGAAGAAGGCTACGGAGAAGGACGACAAGGAGAAGCGGAAGCGCGAGAAGAAGGAACGAAAAGATGTCAAGAAACGAGATCGAAGTAGTATGTCCGCTGAGGAATTACTACGTTTGGATGAAGTACGTTTTTTCGTTTGTTTATTTCTTACAAATTAAAATTGTTCGGTCGTGAAATAGTAGGCTTATCCCTAACGTTAGTTTCTCCGTAATATTATTCCTCTCATTTGGTACACAAAATATGCGTAATATTATCTTGTGAAACTTATCTCGTTTGTCTGATAAAAATTTGTCGAGGTACATATGTCGAAATATTGACTCTAACCTATTGACCTATACGCGCTTTCTTCAATATACTTATCTATAAAGTGGATGTAGTAGATAATTTCTACGATTTGTCGAGTTTAAGTCATCGTGGATAATCTGTTTTTATCTGGGAGTTTTTTTTTGGGGGGGGGGGGGAGTTTGAACACCTTTAAAGATAATGTTCGACGAGTCGTATGTGTTCACTGTGTAGTAACACAGCATACCACAAATATTTCGTCATACGTTTTAGAAGAATTTTCCAGCTTTTTTGTCCGATACGTAGATTTGAACCTTGGTATTTAAATACATTTTCATAAGTTTATCGTCAGTATGAAACATTACAAATGCAAATGAATTGCTGCATTGGAAGTAGTTTACCGATTTCCTACTTCTGTTATTTACTCGTTCATTAAAAAAGTAGTATTTTTCATATATATTTCGTGCATTATTGTTGATAGTAATTTATTATGATTCGTTGATTAATTTCTTTTTCGAGATAAGTTTTAAATTTTAAAATTCACACGAAATGTTTTTATATGATAAACGATAAGAAACAAATATATATCTATGACGTTTCTAGTCAATTTTTTTCGTAGCGAAATATGTAGCATAGCTTAAAATAAATTTTACTTATAGAATATAATTTTGTGTAGTAAAATAGAAGAAAATTTTTTTTTTTATTATTTCTGTAGAACTTAATAGAATAAACATTACTTGTATAATATTACTTGTATAATATAGATTTTAATATTTCGTTAATTTTCTATTTTAAATAGAATTCTATATTGTTTTTATCGAACTAAAGATATCACTGATCTCGTACAAAGTAACCTCGCGATAATTCAAGGTCATTCAGTGGTATGTGATGTATGAATGTATATATTGGTAGGAGCAGGAAATTCTTCGAATATTCGCTGTAACATCGGTTTTTCTTTTAAAAATATAGAAAAATGTAGATTGCTATTTGCAAGAGAATGTTAACAAATTTCTGTATCATTACCATACATTTTACGCAAAATGTATAATGTTTTTCAATACAACGTTCGATACGGAATGTGTAATTTTGCTTATAATTAAGGCACGTTTCTTTTTTTTTTTTTTTATATAACAACGTATCAGTTGAAGGACGATTTGTCAAGTAGTCTGTTTTAGTTCCGTTTTAAACGAAGAAAACATTGCATTTTATTTTTACCTGCATAATCTGCACGTGGAACTCGCAGAATATTTATGACAAATGTTGATGTCGATTCATCTCGGGAATTGCACGATTATCAAAACTAGAGTCTACTAGACAACATAATTTGATAATGCAATACACATGCACATATTTATCCGTATTTCTTTGACTAGAATGCACAATATCTCAGGTATTTAATAATCAGTGGTTACAGATGAAAGATAAATATACGTTCGCTCACACACGTGTGTATAAGTCTCATTTGTCGATCGTTTCATTCATCAAACGAAAAAATAGTCGATATATCCAAGATGTTCGACGAATTACGAGGCGAATGTAAATTGTCGAGCGTCATAACGTGACTATTTAAGATTTATTTCTACGCATTCGTATATCAATCTCTCTCTCTCGTACTTTATGTATACCGTATATTACGTTTTTATAACCTTAATCATTCTTCGTCTTCGTTCGTTTTATTTCGAATGACATTTGCCGTTGTGCACAGTGATAACTATCACGAAAACTCGTGCAGTGCATTGGAAAAGTAATTTGTTTGTGGCGAATGTATGCTGGAGTATGTAGTTAGAGAGGAAATGCGGATGCATTATCAGCAGGTAGTGGAACTCGAGTGAAAGTGTTATATCATTAAGTCTCGTTTAATTCTCACACGCCGATTATTAAGATACGAGAATCTTAACATATCTACCGGAGATATGCATATAACTACACATTTAAATATATAATTATTAAGCTATATGCATAACTGTTATATATATACTTTACTGTATATATATAATTTACGTTATATATATATACTTTACGTTATATATATACTACACTACATAGTATATATATACTTTACGTTATATACTATATA